CACACTTCTCCATACTCTCTGTGCTTGTCATTTCTTACAACACAGTAATATTCCATTACATTCTTGTGCCACAATCTGTTTAGACATGCCCCCATGATGGACATCTGCTTGGTTTCTAGTTCTTTGCTACCACAAAAAACGCTGCTAAAAATATTTTGGTGAATATGGAATTTTTCTATTAACTCTTTTATTATTTCCCTCATTATGGTGTTAAGGTTTTTTGTCTCCTCATATTTTTCCAGGAGACCTACAATCCTTAGGTTGTCTCTATGCACTCTGTCTTTGAGATCAGTATGTTTTGCTTGGAGAGTGAGCATCTTTTCTTTTAATGTTACTGTTAATGTTACTGTTTTTGCCTCTCTTCTTCTAGGTTGTCCTTTACTTCTGTTTATTTACATTCTCAGTCTATTGTCCTCTCTTTTGTTTCTTTGGTGAGGCTTGCTATTGTAGATTCTAGTTTTTCTATTATGCCCATTAGTTTTTTCTGTGAAGGCCACAAATTCTGCCCTCATAAGTTTTATTTCTCTTTTGAACCATTTAGAAAGTGTATTGTGATTCCATGTTTTCCTCACATTCCACAGGGTCTTCCATCTTATTAAGTACTGGATCATTTTCCTTTGTTTGCAGTATTTGTTCATAGATGCTTCCACTCATTTACTGGATCTGGGGGCCATATTTCCTTCTGTTGTTACTGTTTTTCCTGTTGATATGTTTGTGTTCAAGGTTGTTGAGGTTTCTTTTTCCTGAAATCTTTGGTAATTTTCAGTCTTTCTCCTCCATTGTTTCTCTCTATGACTCACTTTATGATTCCTTCCTGATTGTGGTTTCCTTAGAGGTTGGGTCTTAAAGCATCTCAGCCTCCTCCCACACTAGGTAATTCACAGTTCGTCAGCCTAGATCTCTGCCTCAAGTAACTTTGGGTAGTTATAATTAGCCCCACTTGGATGCTGTGTTTTTTTCCTTGGGCTTAGTGGAGCGTTACACAACCATCTTCCCATTTCACTAAATAGCACCCTGTCCTGGGGTCCTATCCTGCTTCCCCTGTTCCTTAGTTCTTTGGGATGCGCCAGCAGTTTGGAGCTTTGAGGCATTGATGTTACAGGGTTGTTGGCCTGGCTCTATCTTTGTCAATGCTACAGGGCTGTCCACCTGACCGAAGGGCAGTTCAGAGCTTTGCAGCACTGGTGCTAGAGGACTATGGCCCCTGGCTCATGTCCTGAGGTCTGCTAGTGCAGCCTCACTGCGGGTAGCTTGAGAGGCAGAAAAGTGACACGTGAACTCAAGGTGAATAAGTGTCAGTTTGTTGGTTTGGATTTTGTTTTTTAACTTATTTTAGATTCCAGGTGTCCAACACAATGGAGACAGGTGACATTGCTTTATCTTTGATAAATAATTTGTTTTGGAGAGGTTTGAGAGGTTGTGGGGATCAGAGAAAATGTCTACTCCTCCGTCTGGCTGCTCATGTGATGTTCCATTAACTCTTAATCAGAAACCTCTACAAAACAAAAGCCAATGCAAGAAGAATATTAGCATACCATTCGACCCATAAACTAGGGAAACATTTTCCCATCCATGTATAGGGGAGGGGGAAAGTGGGCACAAACTCACAGAATTATAGCAGGGAAGCCCAAGCAGGAGGAACACAAATGCCCAGCACAACTGACAACTCTAGACCACAGACATGATATACTTTGCTGCCCTCAGAAATAGTCAACAACAGTTTACTGATGGACTCCTCTCCTGGGCCTCTTTGCTTTCCTGAGCGAGAGCATTGGCCGTCTCCTCTGCTAGCTTCTTCATTGGGGCCACTTTACAGCTACATCTCTCAGAAAAAAAGCATAAACCCAAAGTCTGGGAATCTTCAGAGCTTTTCTAGGTCTTTTCTTTTGGTCGAACTCTCCCTGTGGGAGTGGATGGAAGTATCAGTCAGTTTTTCCAAAGGCAAAATCTTTACTCAATTCTTGCAAGCAGTAAGTGAAAGAGACAAAACTTGTTCTACTCCAGCCTATTCTTCCAAGCAGGTGGCAGTGTAAGATCTAGGTAAGATCTCTTCCCTGACACAACTGGAGATTTCTCCTGGCATCAGCATTGCTTTTGAATTAGCTATTCGGTGAATTACCCTATTGGTCCAAAGCAAGGTCCCCCTCAGTGAAATGATTCACTTCTGTCTTATGGTTATAAACTCAAATCCACACTCCTGACAACTAAACCTTAACTTGGCAATATACATTTGTCTCATAGTCACCAAATAGTTCTAGGAACCAGAGTTTTTGAGCTCTTAACTCAAAGTCCTCATAACAGGAATTCGCAAGTTATATGCTTAGAAAGAGGACATTTGGGACATCTTTGCCCAAAGTAAGTGTATTTTCTCCATGGGGCTTTTTTTTTTTTTTTAAAAAAGCATTTCTCTCACAACTGTCTTTGTTTTTGCCTCTTTCAATGAATAAAACTGTCCACCTCTGAAGGGGACAGTCTTTTATATCAGGATACACAAAAAATTACAAGGTAATTGTAAGGGGAGGTATTAGTAGTTGAAGGAATCAGGAAGTCTTTATGTGGAAGGTGGGGTCCAAGGTGAACTTTGAAGGAAACTTCCAAAAATTAGAAGTGAGGAGAAAGTACCTTCTAAGCATAGGGGACAGCCACTTAGGGATGGGAAATAGAGTGATATGTACGAAGCTCAGTAAGGCTAGTTTGCCTGGACCACAAAATGCATGAAATAGAGCAATGTGTACTAAGACTGGAAAGGTAGGTTGGAACTACACTATTATGGTATTGAATCCCTAAACAGAAAAGTCTGTATTTGATTCTAGTGGTAATAACGGCCAGTGGAGATTTGTGTTGGGAAGTGATATGGTCAGACCTGTGTTTTAGGAAGATTAGATTAGCAGCTATACAGAAGATGGATTGCAGCGGGGAAAGCCAGAGACAGGTAGTTCCATTAGGAAGATATTGCCATAGTGCAGGCAAGAGGTGGGGAGGGTCTAAGCCAGGGTGGCAGCTGTGAGTGGAAAGGAGGGGACAGATAGGAGAGATGATACGGATGTCGAGGGGACAGTCAAGGTCCCTGGGCCACTCTGACTTCCTTGCTGTTCTGAGGTGAATGTCGGTCAGTTACTTGGGCACAGTCAGCCTTTTAGGATGGTTTGCGATTGTGTTCGTGCCTGTGCTTCCTTTAATTGATCATATCTGATCCCTTGACAAAAGGTTCTTCTGCAAAACCTATTACAGTGATTATCATGAAAGCTCTTGTGAAAAGGCCTTTATTTTAAGACCAGATTGGTGTTAAAATAGGCTGGGCATCCATCCAGTGTCAATAGATTGCCACGTAGACAGGCCTCCTGATAGGGGAGAGAGCTGGACTCAGAGCTAGGAAGGCCTGGGCTCCTCCTGGCCCCTACTGGCTATGTGACCCTGGGGCAAGTTACTCAAGTTTCAGGCAACTTTCTAAAACTATCAAAAAGTACAAGGAAGGAGTAGTTGAGCTTTTCTCATTTAGAAGGTCTCTACATCAATCCAATAAACTTTTGTTTTTTATTGAGTGCCTACTATGTGCCAGGTGCTGGGGATACAAAAAGAGGCAAAAGACAGTGCCTGCCCTCAAGGGCTTACAATCTAATAGAATTAGACTGCCTTGGATCAACGAAATCACAGGCCCAGTGTTTTCCCATAGGCAAGACAATGCTGCCTTCCAGGGGCCTCAAATGGCATTCAAGGAATCCACAAGTCTGACTGCATGTCCCTGACTTGCAGCACCCTGATTAGCCGTAGTGCTGCCTCCTGGGGGGTAGCTCAGGGAAGGAGGTGGTTAGAGGGGTGTATGGGGGATTCAGGGAGGACCAGCACCTCTGGTATGAGGGTTTTCAGAGCTCTTTTCAGGGCTGCTCACCCACCTTTGTTGTCCACCTGTCACCCAACTCTCACCTATGGATGTAAGAAACTGTAGCATAGGCAGCGGCACACCCCAGTAAAACCAGGGTGAGGGTAACCAACAGGCTTCAAACCCATAAGTGAGTTGGGGGTGTCTACCCCAAGCAGGTGAAGCCTTCCCCCAATGGGATGGGCAGATGAGAACAATGTGTTCCAAGGTCCAGGAAGATGGCTGAAGCAGGTGCTTCAGGGGAGCCCACAGAGCTTGGTCAGACACGGATGATGCCAAAGTCACCCACTGCATCTGGGGCCACGGCCAGCCGTCCTGACTTTTGTCCTGCCACTGGACTTTAATGACTTGGGAAGAGAGAGTGAGGCCAAGGACACTGTTCAGGTCTGCCTCACTTAAATCCAATTCACACGCAAGTCAAGGCATCGTTCTCATGGTGACATCGGTCCTCTTTGGAAATCAAGGACAAATTGGGGGCTGAAGCAGAAGGGAGATTCCTCTTGTATTGTTCCAAAAGGGCAGCTGGGTGGCACAGTGGATGGAGAGCCAGGCGTGGAGTCAGGAAGACTCATCTCCCTGGGTTCAAATGTGGCCTCAGTCACTTACTAGCTATGTGACCCTGGACAAGTCACTTCACCCTGTCTGCCTCAGTTTCCCCATCTGTAAAATGAACTGGAGTAGGAAATGCAACCCACCCCAGTATCTCTGACAAGAAAACCCCTAATGGGGTCACAAAGACAAAGAGTGGGTGGCAGCCCCGACACTGAACGCCAATCCTCAGACTCTCAATGGCAGTGGAGGGACGCTAGGCTTGGCCCAGGTAACTCAAACCCCCAACGCCCCGCCCCGGGGCTCTCAGAGCTCCCAGCGCCGGCCCCTCCCCCCTTAAGCTTCGCCTCCTTGTCCCGCCCCCTGCTGCCCATTCGTCCTCCCTCGAGGCCCCGCCCACCGCGCACGCTCCCGCGCCCCTCTCCGACCCGCCCCCGTGCCCCTCCCCGTGCTCCTCCTCTTTCCAGGCAGCTAGACTCAGTCCTCGGGAGTCGAGGTTTGGCGCATGCTGAGCTGCTGCCTCCGCCTCCGCGTCTCCGGGCCCGGCCTCGCGCTCCCGCTGCGCTTCCTGCTGCAGTCGCCTCGGACCCCGGGTCCGAGCGTCCACCGCCCGCTCCCCCCGACCTTTGACTTCGGCTTCCGCCCGCGTAGCCTCATGAAGCCACTCGTCGTGTTCGTGCTGGGCGGGCCCGGCGCCGGCAAGGGCACCCAGTGCTCCCGCATTGTGCAGGTGAGAGCCGGGCCTGTAGCCTCGGGGACCCCTGGACTACGGCTCCCGGCAAGAGCCCGGGGTTCGTGGGGCATGCCGGGACTTGTGGTTCTCCGGGGGCGGGAGAGGGAGGCTGGGACCCTCCGAGCCCAAGCCGCCCGCGTGGCATGCCGGGACTTGTGGTCCGAGGGTGGAGGCCGGGACGCCTCCGAGAGTGTCGTGGGCCCGCGGGGCATGCCGGGACTTGTGGCGCCCTCCGCTGTGGGGAGGTGCTCGGAGCTGCCAAAGGTCGTGGGCTGTAACCACGTAGCAAGCGCCAGGCTGGCCGGTGGGGCCCTTCCCCTCCCTGGGCCTCAGTTTCCCCGTCAGCCCTGGAAGTCAGTGTTCTAAGCCTCTCTCAGACCTGCTAGTCTGTGGAGTGTCCTCCCTGGGCCTCAGTTTCCCCGTCAGCCCTGGCCGTCAGTGTTCTAAGCCCCTCCCAGACCTGCTAGTCTGTGGAGTGTCCTCTCTGGGCCTCAGTTTCCTCCTGTGTAAGACACTAGATGATACCTGTGTCCCTTGCAGCTCTGCCTTTGCCTCTGAAGGACAGGGTTAGGCCACAAGATCTCCAGGGTCACTCCTGCACCACAGCCCCAGGTGCACACTGGTTGTTCATCTGTGTGGAGCATAAAACCCTGTCCCTGGCCTCAGGTGGCAGGGAGTCTTTAGGCAGGGACTGCTGCATAAATGCCTCATCAGAAGTTTTACTCCCCACAAAGGAGCAGCCCCCAGGATGGGTGCTGAGCCCCATCACACAGAGGTGGAGCCTCTCTGAGGGGTAGCCCGGGGTCTCTTTCCTGCCTGAGATCAGGAGGTCAGGTGGTCAGGCAGGCTGCAGATGTGTGGGGCTCCTCTGGACTTCCCAGGGCAGGGCTGCTCACCTTTGAGGTGAGTTCTGGGGGTTTGAAAGCTGCTGTGTCGGAAGAGTTCTGGATTCGGGTCAGGACTGTGGAGGGCAAGCTTTGCCCTGCCACTAGGCAGGCAGTGAATTAAGTACTTCATTATATTCTTTTGCATTTGTATTTATCTTATTAAGTATTTTCCCCAGTTACATTTTAATCTGGTTTAACTGGGTAGTTTTACACACCTTGAGTATGACCCTGTGATCTAGCCCATCTCTTTCATTTAATAAAGGATCTGAGACCCAGAGATGAGAAGTGACTTGTCCAAGTTAATCCATGACAGGATTTGAACCCATATCCTAACCCCCCCATCTAGTACTCTTTTAGTGGCAGTAAGTGATTCAAGGGCCTGCTGAGCCCAGGATGACAGAGTTGGAAGGGACCTGGGAGGACAGCCAGCCCACCGCGTCCCTGAGTCAGGACACCAGTGATACATACCAGACCAAAACTTGTCCTGTACCTGCCAGGTCACTCTGAAGGGATTCAGGGTGGACTGGAAACTCCCTCTAGCCTGAGGCTGTCCATCTTTACACTTTGGGACAGCTCCCACTTTGCCAAAATCTGCCTTGGCCATTGAGGAGAAATGAATGAATGAGATCAGCATTTGCTTATGGGTCCCCATGGACCGAGTCACCCAAATGGTGGGCTTCAGAGAAGGAAGAGCATCTCAGTGATTGCGGGGAAAGAGTGAGCATCCGGATCTGAAGGGGATGGTGATCCCGGCAGCTGCCCTCCCTGGCAGGGAGAGTTGGGGAGCTGCTGTTTTCCAAGATCATTTCCTCCTTGGCCTCTCTGCTCCAAGGCCTTGGCTGAATTGGGATTTGGGCCTTTACTAAATGTCTTGATGCTGTTGTCCTGAATTTCCTCCCAGATTCCCCACTGTACAATCTGAACAAAGTTGCTTTGTCCCAACTGACGTGTCAGTGTGTGTGTGCTGCACGGGTATGCTCACTGGGTTCAGGATCAGAGGTTGGGAGCTCTCCAGCTGGGTTTTGTAACTGCAGCCTCTTTTTTTTTTTTTAATTTAAAGAAAGAAAAACCAAACCCAATATGTTGACAAGGGAAATAATATATAAATTCCATTTTTTCTTAGTCTGTAGATTATTTTTGCCTCTTGTTTTTTCACCTTTTAAAAGGCAGGTGCTAAAAGGGAAGATTGGAAAAACAGTGTGACAGTCCTCAAAGATTTTTTTTTTTTTGCTTTTTGATGAGGCAGTCGGGGTTAAGTGACTTGCCCAGGGTCACACAGCTGGTGTCAAGTGTCTGAGGCCAGATTTGAACTCAGGTCTTCCTGACTCCAGGGCCGGTGCTCTATCCATTGCACCACCTAGCTCCCCCCAAAGAATTTTAAATGAATAACAGATCACAGACATACAGATTCTCGATGATTTTCATAGTGCTTCAAGGCTACAGGCAGTATTTTCTAGAGGAATGAACACTGGATTTGCATCAGATGACCTGGGTTTCAATTCCAGGTCTGTTACTTGTGCTCTTTGCCAAGTATTATGTATCTGAATTTCAGTTTCTTTCTCTGAAAAAATAAGAGGGTTGGATTAGATTAGGAATTCTTAGCCTGGGGTCCACACACCACCCGGGGGCTTGTGGATGGATTTCAAGGGGTCTGTGAACTTGGATGGAAAACAATGATATCTTTATTTTCACTTACCTCTAACTGAAATTGAGCATTTCTTTCCGTATAAATTAAAAACAAAACCATACCTAGAGCGTGATTGTGGCCAGGGGCCTCTTCTCAGGCCTTCCCAGCTGGTGTGCCAGAGGTGTCCAGCTTAACACTGAAAAGTGAAGAGCCCTTGGCCTTGAGGATCCCAAAGGCCCTTTTAAGAGGTCGAAATCTTTCGACTTCATCAATCAGTTTAAAGTCCCGTTATCCCCCTCTTTGCAGATAATAGGAAATGGAGGCTCAGGGAGGTGAGATCCTTGCCCAGAGTCTCTGAGCTAGTAAAAGTCAGAGCTGTGATTTATCTTGTGGTCTCTCTATACTGCTTTCTCCAAGTCTTGGGCTTTTACCAAACACACACCCCCACTTGCCACCCCCAGGCATTTGGCTGGTTTTGTGTTTTAGTGACAAGTTTTGTTTTAACATAGCTGACCAAGTGTGCTCCCAGAAACGTTTTAAGTAAAAAGAAAACAAAACCCAAACCTCGCACCCAACCAGTTTGTGCCTAATGATCCTATCCATAACTGTACCCTTATTTTAAAAGAGAAGGGATTACTGTATGTGTTGACAAAGATTATAGAGATAGGGCAGGCCACCTCTGTGATCTTTGACCTGGATTTTGTGACTCTGCAGTGTCCTCTGTCTTCCCACATGGGTGCTTTCGCTCTGTATGTTTTTCCTCTTCCTCTCTCAAATGTCAGGTGCTCTTCAGGCTGGGATTGAGTTGTCCGGGGCAGGAGTGTTAGCTGTAGTAAAATTCCTTTTCACAGGTAGGCTGGAGCTGCGTTAGATGAGGCCTGTGAGTTGTTCTGAGTGACTCTCCATGATTTAATGACGAGGCTGTGACTCTGTGTCTGGAGTCACAAAGTTAGACCTCCATCCCCAAGGGACCTACCAACCCCCTGCTTTACTGAATTCAGAATGACCTTGAGGGTCTGGAGTTGGGCTTTCCTCACTGCCCAGCAAGTCACGCCACTGGCTGCCAACATCATGGTCAGCCTTGGACTCTGCGTTCAGTATAAGCTTGAGTTCCTGAGATCCGAGGATTTTAGAACAGAGGATTATCTAGTACCTGGAAGGACACCCACCGGGCCTTGTAGAGCTAGGTGGGATGTAGCCTCATAGGGATTCAAAGCCTCTGTTCCCAAGTGAGCATCTTGAGCCTGCCCTGCCTTGGGTCCTCTTTCCTACCCTTTCTCCTTTCTTTCTTCTTTTTTTCCTTTCCTTTTCTTTTTTTTGTTTTGTTTTTCTTTTTCTTTTTTTTATAATTTATTTATTTTTAGTTTTCAACATTGACTTCCACAAGATTTTGAGTTCCAGATTTTCTCCCTGTCTCGTCGCTCCCCCTACCACAAAATGGCATGCGTTCTGAATACCCCTAATCTCCCTCCCTTCTATCTTTCCTCCTCCTCTCTTATCCCCTTCTCCTTCAATTTTCCTGTAGGGCAGGATGGATTCCCTTTCTCCTTTCTCCTCGGCAGTTTGTCTGGACCAGAAGCGAGCCTCTTGACCCTCCAGAGTGCTGCTTGAACCCGATTAAAGTGTTACTGGGGAACATTTAACAGAATAAATAAAAATACAGTAAAATATAGATAATGCTCATATGTGGTTTTCTAAGTCAGTATGCAGCCCTCAGGGATCCTTTTGTATGGGTATGTGAGTTGGACCCCACTGATCTCGCTCCCAGGCTCCTCCCCCTCAGTGTCTGCCGGTCATCTTCCAGACTCCCTGCCACCTTCCTCAGTGACTTTTAGCACCAGCAGTGTCCATCTCTCCCCCTCCCACCCCTGTTCATTCCCCGTTTATTATCCTTAGGCCTACACTGCTGTCTCATTGTAGGGAAAGCATTTGTCAGCTCTAAAGCACCACAGAAATGTGAATTATTATTATTATATCACGGCCAGGAAAAGGGTGAGGAGTCACTTTACTAAAAAAAAATCACTCCATCTTCAAGTTGTGGAATTGTTTTTGACGTAAGCCAGTTATAGTAGACCCAAACTCTGCTCCTCCAGGCTGTTCTTGCTGGGTGCTTCTTTAAATACCAGGAAAGCCTCTCTCCTCCTGGAGTCAATCACAGAAACTCAAGAATTGGGCCCTTAGGCCAGCCTGCCCTCTCCTGGAGAGCCTCTTGGTAGGTATTTTCCAGCTTGTAAATCCTTTGAGGGCAAGGCCTCATTGAGTCACTTTTACTTTGCCGTAGTCAGTGACCCGGGCTTGAGCTACACTGGCGGAACACGCAGTCGCACTGGCTCTCAGGGATGCCCAGGCTTCGGTCGTCTCTTCAAGGTCAGTTACTTCAAATAACCATGCAGTTGTAGAATCTGAATGGGAAGCTGATGGGAGCCTTTAGGGGTCCTCAGAGAATGGGGCTGGGCTGGGGCTGAGGTGAGGAAGGGGAGACA